GCATCATACTTACAGGAAGACACACAGAGATAACGGCTGTTCAGTATGGTAAACTGTGTCTAACAGGTGATACAAGCTTCAGTCTTTAGCGAGGGTGAACGGCTGATTGTCATCATTTCCATTGTTAAAGTGCTTGAGATCTGCGTCCTCTCTGGCAATTTTATAATATTAAATAAATCTATTTTCCATGCAGCGCATCAGATTCTACCATGGCAAAAGTGCGCTATTTGTTTAAAAATTAATACCTCGTCAGATGGCGTTTATTAACTTTTAATACTTTTTAATGGCTTTAATTTTTGCTTATTTGTTTTATTACCTTTTAATACTTTTTACAACCCAGCGGATACCCTGGCCTGTGACGTGCATATCCATAAAATACAAAAAGTCAAAGAAAATATTTAAATTTAAGAAACTTGGTATGATACACATGATTTTACCCTTTATGTCACATAAATGGCATATTTTCTTTTGAATTTGGCTCAACTAAAGTGAGACAGGATGTGATATCAAAGGGGAACTCTTTGAGAAAGAAAACTCCCTGGTTTTTGTTTTTTGAAACATTGTTATTTGAACTATGGCTCTTTCTCATCTCTCTATGATATTGATTAAAATAATCTAAAGAAACATCAGATTCTTCTCTACAGTCTGTGTTGTTAGCTATTTTAGCAACACTGTTTACATTCAGACATTCCCCTTTGACATCACTTCCTGTTACTTCACATGTGAATATCACAACAACTGTTCATCTCAGCGGCGTGAAATCTGTAAAAATATATTCATATTTATTATAAAAACTTGATATCACTGACAAATCTATTAATCCAAATGTGTATATATATGTATATTTGATTCTGGATTTGGTAATTGCATAATCTTGTTGTTTTTAGGTAACATTTCTATCAACATAACTGCAACGGCTGATGCAGCAAAGCCCCCAGACCAAAGTTTGTCCCCAGGCCTTAATATTTCTTCTAGTTTTAATAAGTCCTCACCTGTCAGGTTTGACAGTTTTGCCTCTGAGGACAGAGCTCCTAATGATACAACTGGACAACAAACAGAACCAAACAACACCTCTGTGCACCTAAACACTACCACAGTAAGTTTGAGCTCAAACACACGGTCTTCAACGGTCTCTCCATCCACTCAGCAGCCAGCGGACCACCAGACTCCATCATTAGAGACAGACCAGGTGACTCCCACCCCAGAGTCTGCACCTACTGGATCCAGTCTGAGCTCTGCTCCACCAGGCTCTTCACCTGGTACCTCAGCTGCCACCACATCACATCTGTCAACTACTACAACTACAACAACAACAAACACCACCACACCACATCCGTCAACTACTACAACTACAACTTCAATAACAACAACAACAACAAACACCACCACACCACATCCGTCAACTACTACAACTACAACAACAAATACCACCACACCACATCTGTCAACAACTACACCTACTACAACTACAACAACCACACATCCATCCCCAACAACAGACCTTCTACCAACTGTAAAAGCACTATCCAGCATCAGTTTGTCTGAAACCACAAAAACTAAAACATCCCCGTTTCCGATCACCAAGAAGCCAACGACCCCCGTGACATCCGTCAACACACCAGGTGCTGCCGTTCCGAGCCCCACCTCTGCCAAGTCTTCAGCCTCGACTCCGAGCCTGTCTGTGGTGGAGGCAGCAGGCGGCGCCCTCACCAGGCAGCTGGTGGACATGGCGTCTTTACTGGCCGTGCTGCTCTTCGGCCTGCTTTTCTTCTTGGTTACGGTGGCGGTGTTTGTCACACAGGCGTACGAGAGCTACAGGAGGAAGGATTACACCCAGGTTGACTATTTGATCAACGGTATGTACAGCGACTCGGGGGTGTGAGACGCGAAGAGGCAGTACTGCTCTTTGACTTGTAGGCGGAGCCTCAGAGAGGCGGAGTCTCTGAACAGGAACACAGTAGGGTTGTGAGTTCAGATGATCCAGTGGCTGCTGTTGGTTTGAGGCATTTGGAACCACAAATCTGACCAATAACTTAAACTAACTGAAAGTTCTCTGATCCATTTCCCCTTTACCCTGTGTTCATTTCAATTTTCTTTCTTTTAGTTTAATAACCTCCACCACGACCCTTGGTGTCTATCACAGTAAGTAGCTGTGAGTGCAGCACAGATTTCAGTATTAACCTTACAGAACAGGACTCCTTCACATTTTCATTGAGCCTGCTGGTTCCCTCAGGGTGGGAGCAGCAGTAGTGAGCTTCCAAAGACAGATATTTTTGTTTATACTTTTTATTCAAGCCAAAAAAAACCACTAAAATGTTGTGATTCATCCATTTTTTACAACTCTAGGTTGAAAAAGAGTTTAAAAAGAATTCTGTGTTTTGTTTTTGTTGAAACTATCTTCCACTCATTGCAAACTATGAAATAAAATATAATAAATGTTACTGTAGTCTATATCAAATGGTTCAGTTAAAACAAGTTAACTCTAATAGTTTTCTGAATGTAGGGGTGTGCAGTTCTGAAAAGTGGGTCCACTCAGCTGAAATGGCAGATCAGATAGAGAAGAAGCTCAGCAGGAAATTTCTGTGTGAATCTGCTAAACACCAAAGAAAAGAGAAAGAACAAATAAAACCGTTAAAATTACATGTTGTGAAACGAACAGAGAGGGAAGCAGCACCGTAAAGAAAACTGGAAAGTTTCAGTTTTAATGTTTTTTTTAACTCTAACATTTATAACTAATAACTTGAATCCACTCCATGAAATGAATGTCTTTCAGTTCAGATTGTTTTATAAATCTATCACCAGACTTTACTTAATAAATCGTGCCATAAATCAAACACATCAACTCACAAAGTCACCAGTCCAGTCACCTCAGCTGTTCATGTAGGTAAACACAAAGTCACAAATTTACCGATATGTCTGATACGTTTGGTCGTCCTGACATTTGAAAGAGTATTTTTAAGATTTTAGACAAATGTGTCGAGTCAAAACTGGTACCCAGAACCATCATCTTAGAGCAAGAAATAAATCAGTTTTATGTGGAAGTAGAAAACAATCTCATACATTAAAAAAACGTGTTTTATACATTTCTCCTTTTCCAAACAAGTTTATACAAAATTAAATGTTCTCCCTGATAAAAAGTTTGTAAAAGTAACGGAAATAAAAGGATATTTTTGTTCTTTAAAATGATTGTTTATAGACTTGTCCTTCGGGATGAGTTACGTAGTTTTTTTTTTTTTTTTTTCATTATTCCGTTCAGTTACTTCCTGTTGTGGGTATGGTCAGAAATGGGTGCATTGTTCGCCCAGCAGTGTTTCTTTTTAAATTACATTAAAGAAGAGACTCATATATTGAAGTGAACTTAGTGTGAGATTAAACTTCTTTGGGTTTTATTTCAAATTTATTATTAGTAGGAAAACTGTGAGTAGTTTTAGAAGGGTCGCACTTCACAACATCAAAAATCAGATTTTCAAAGCAGATTGAATTTATTTTGACGTAAAAACCCAATAGTACACAAAATTTAGTTGTTTATGAATTATGTTTTAGATATTTTGACCTGAGACCAGCCAGCTGTAGTATAAAATGTTGAAGTTTAACCCTTAAATCTTCAGATAGTATCTCACTGTTACAGACTAGTTGAGAAAAAAAAAAAACAACCACTTGGAATCACACATAAACACTGATGTTTGCATGAATTTTGCCCCAAAATTAGGGAAACTAGACCACTTCCAGTCATGTGACAGCTCTGTGACTGTTTTGAGGGAGAGAAAAAAACAGACGAGCTCAAAACTGATCTCAGTAGAGAAAATTTAAAACATGGTGAACATTTAGAAACATTTGGGAAATACCTTCAGGAATGTTCGTAACTTGTCTCCAACAGTCGCCGCTCAGTGAGATACTATCTTTGTGTTTATTACCTGTAGGAGCATTTAAAGCATATTCTGAGTGATTCATTTCTTGTTAGTGTATCGAGAATTAGTTTAACTCTGACTCTTGTCAGTTAACTGATGAGCTCATGGCTAGTCTGAACGCAGCGGGGACCAAAGTGGATTGCTGCTGTCTTAAAACGGCTCCACTCTTTACAACTTATCAACAGTTGAAGTAAATATTATTTCATAGGTTTTTGCATTTATTTAGTCATTTATCTGTGGGTATATGTAATCATAAACATCTGCAGCAGCAGCTAGCAGCTGCACTTCCTGCAGCATTATCTTGTTATTTTTGTCCAAATGTCCGTAAAGGTTTAAATATTAATGTTTGCTTTAAAGATTGGAGTTGATTTGAACTGGCTTTTTATGTGAGACCATATAGATGGAGCTAATGACCAGTTCTGATGGGACCAGTTCTAGTGGGACCAGTTCTGATGGGACCAGTTCTAGTGGGACCAGTTCTGATGGGACCAGTTCTAATGGGATCAAATCCAGGGTGGATCTTAGTGTTTTAAAACGACTTCAGTTCAAAAGTTCATGTTTAAATATTTTCTTTGATCTCCTTTAACCTTTCATTTTGTCAGAAACATTACTGTCCTGCTGGAAGTGCTACAGCTAGCTGCTGCCGATGCTTGTGCTTTCAAAACACAATTCTTTGTGCAGAACTGTGTACTGAGAAACTGAGGGCGGTGTAAAGGTTTATGAAATCTTGAAAAAGTGTTTTGTTTTTGTTATAAATGCAACAGTTCAGTTTGGTGTTAAACCCACTGACTTTATTTTCCTGTTTGATTTATTTCAGAAACATTTGTCAGGATGTCTTCCACACTGTGCTCATGATCTCTGAAATATTCTTCCTACACTTTTTTAAGTTTGTTTGGATTAATAGTTCTTTTATTTTTGGTGCTTTGTTTTAGGGATGATTTTTTTAAGATTTAAATTGTTTTTCAGCTCATCATTTTTGAGAAACACAATATGTCCTTCAGCAAAAACCAAAACTTTGAGTTTCTTCTGGGAAGTTAAATGTTTTCATATTTGTAGGGATTTTTCATTAGAACAAAACCATTTGATCATTTAAAAAAGAAGGAGAAAAAAGTTTTTGATAAATTTAGAGGCGTACTGTGTGTTTTCATAATAAAGTGTTTCCAAACAAAATAAGATCGATCACAAAAGTTCGTATTTCAGACTGAATTATATTTGTTTGTTGATGATTTCCATCATTTCATTTCGTGTGACGGGTTGAGTTGGGTGAAATTTGAAGCACATGTTTTTTAAAAAGCCAGAGGGAATCTAAAGCCATTCTAAGTTTGGAAGTTAAGCTGTGATCAGGCTTGACTGAAAGGTCCAGAACAAAATCTTTTCAAACCGAAAAGGAAAATTCATTTCAGGTGGATGGCAATTTTATATGCACAAGATACTGGTGAGAGTTTTTCTTTTTTTTTTTTTAAATAATAATATTGCTTTTCTGATGTGTTTGTCATGGTCCTGGAAATGACTGTAATGTTAATGTTGTACGTTTACAGGAAGAAATGAGCAGATGACACGTGCCAACTGAATATTGTACTAATGCACTTTCAAAATATATTTTTATTTCACAAAAAAAATAAAGATCAAGAACAAAATGACTTTTGACTTTGTTTTTGTGTTTGGATTCAGCAGGTTTACAAAACAAGGCACCTCCTCTCCATAAATGTCTTGTTCCAGTTTTTTATATTTATTAAAAAAATGATATTTACTGATATTACACAAACACAAATTATATTATACATGTACGCACAAACACACTTGGGTTGTTTTTGATACTGTAAATAAACAACATGGCTCTCTACTTCAGTTATTCCTGGCTGCGCAGCGTCAGTATCACTATCATGATCAAAGAGATGCTGCTTGACCGACCATCTCCCCTCCCAAAACAGAAACACAAAGATAAAAAGTGTGAAATCAGTATCGGGTGTTAATATCAGCCCAGTTTTACATATCGGACTGGTACCGATGTTCTAAAAAATTGACCAATATCTGCCGATACCGATATTAATACGAGCGATATACTGTATTATGCATCCCTAGGAAAAAGTGTCCAATACTGTTTGTTTCTTTGCAGCTGTGAGACACAGTCATATGAAAAAGTTTGGGCAGCCTTGTTAATTTTCCTGATTTACCTTTATAAATCACTGATTGTTTGAAAAAAAATCAGTTAAATATATGCTATAGGAGACAAACACAGTGATATTTGAGAAGTGAAATCAATTTTTATGATTTACAGAAAATGTGCAATAACTAGTTAAACAAAATTAGGCAAGTGCATAAATTTGGGCACCATTTTAATTTTATTGATTTCAAAACCTTTAGAACTAATTATTGGAACTTAAATTTGGTTTGGTAAGTTCAGTGACCCTTGACCTCCATACACAGGTGACTCCATTTATGAGAAAGGGTATTTAAGGGAGGCAATTGTAGGTTTTTATCCTCTTTGCATCATCTTCACAGTGACTCCATCATCTTGCTGCTGATGGAGTCACTGTGCATCGTTCAACTGTTCAGCACACTTTACACAAGGAGATGCTGTATGGGAGAGTGATGCAGAGGAAGACTTTTCTCTGCCCACATCACAAACAGAGCTGCTTGAGTTATGCTAAAGCACATCTGGACAAGCCAGCTTCATTTTGGAATAAGGTGCTGTGGACTGATGAAACTAAAATAGAGTTATTTGGGCAGAACAAGGTCCGTTATGCATGGAGGAAAAAGAACACAGCACTCCAAGAAAAACACCTGCTACCTACAGTGAAATGTGGGTGTGGTTCCATCATGCTGTGTGTCTGTGTGGCCAGTACAGGGACTGGGAATCTTGTTAAAGTTGAGGGACGCATGGATTCCAACCAGTATCAGCAGATTCTGGAGACCAATGTCCAGGAATCAGTGACAAAGCTGAAGCTGCTGAAGCCGGGGCTGCATCTTCCAACAAGACAACCACCCTAAACTCTGCTCAAAATCTACTGAGGCCTTCATGCAGAGGAACAAGTACAACGTTCTGGAATGACCATCTCAGTCCCCAGACCTGAATATTATTGAAAATCTGTGATGTCACTTAAAGAGAGCTGTCCATGCTCAGAAACCATCAAACCTGAATGAACTAGACATGTTTTGTAAAGAAGAATGGTCTAAAATACTTTCAGCCACAATCCAGACTCTCATTAGAAGCAGTAGGAAGTGTTTAGAGGCTGTTATTTCTGTGAAAGGAGGAGCTACTAAATATTGAGGTAAGGCTTTTTCATGGTGCCCAAATTTATGCACCTGCCTAATTTTGTTTAAACAATTATTGCATAGTTTCTGTAAATCATATAAACTTCATTTCACTTCTCAAATACCACTGTGTTTGTCCCCTATATGATATATTTAACTGATATTTTTAGTCCAAACAATCAATTATTTATAAAGGTAAATCAGGAAAATTAACAAGGCTGCCCAAACTTTTTCATATGACTGTATGTCACCTCAAACACACACCTACACTACACACACACACGCACACACACATGCACACTTTCTCCCTATTCTCTTTACTTCACTAGGAGACTGCAAGAATGCAGGTGTTTTTACAACTTTTGACGAGAACCTTTTTTGTTCTCGTGTGTAAACTCCACACACGAGACAGGGGGAAAACATGAATATTCTCTGCAAGGGAGTACTAAAAGCATTACACACGGCAAATACATGTGATGTAGTGACTGTCAGAGCTCAGAAAATGAGCAGCAAAAATAAAAAGATGATAGCTCTAAAAGCACTGAAACTTCTATTGACAGCCATTGTAAATTTTTAGTTCGTAAATGTTTTTATCGTTTAAGGAACATTTCAAAGCTGAGATCTTTTGTGACACAGAAGGAACTAGAGATGGTTGTTCACGCTTTTATTTCTTCTCATTTAGATTACTGCAACAGTCTTTACATGTCTAATCAAATCCTCCTTGACTCGGCTTCAGTCTGTGCAGAACGCTGCAGCGAGGTTATTAACAAAGACCCCCAGGAGAGCCCACATTACACCTGTTTTAGCCTCTCTGCACTGGCTCCCTGTGACTTTGAGGAGTCATTTTTAAATTTTAGTTTTAACTTTCAGAGCACTTCATGGTCAGGCCCCCAAATACATCCTGGACCTTCTGAAGCCTCTCTGTCCATCCAGGACTTTGAGGTCTTCTAATCAAATCCTGCTGGTGGTCCCTGGAACCCATTATAAAACCAGTGGAGACAAAGTTTTTCAGGTGGTGGCCCCGAGGCTCTGGAACGCTCTCCCTCTGTCCCTTCACTGCTCAGATTCTACTGACTCTTTTACGAAACATCTTGACATTTTTATTCAGACAGGCTTTTAGTTAATGTGCTTTTTATTGTGTTTTAATTGTTGTTTTTATATCTGTGATCTGTTTTATTGTTTTTAATTATTTTTTGCTTTCTGTGAAGCACTTTGTGATGTTTGTCTGTGAAAGGTGCTATAGAAATAAAGTTTACTTACTGACTTACTTACTTACTTACTTACTTACTTACTTACTCTTCAATCATATGAGTGAAACAGAAGATGATGTGTCTGAACCAGTCATGTCAGAAAATGGTGAAATACAGCGGTCTTCATCTCCAAGTAAACAACATGGAAACTGTGAAGAAAATATAATAAATACAGTGGCAGGGCCTACCAGGACAGCAGTAACTTGTGTCACGGACATCAAGCCAGTCTTTGAGCTGCTCATGCCCAGTTCAAAACAGAAAAGCATTCTTGAAGTGACAATAATGA